TACTGAAAGTGTGGAAGATGTACTTGATGACTGCACATTAAAGTAGAGCCAAGGAATGGCAATTATGTTATTCCAAACACACAGGAATTTCTTTACAACGCTTGCTAACTTTTCAGGTTTTTTCTCTTTACGTATTCTTATCTGGCCCCATAAAAAGGCAGACAAAGTTACAATGCAATTTAATATATCCTTTTTTAAGTGACCACAACTGGGTGAAATACACAAATAGGAGAGGTCTTGGAAGTTTGTGAAAGTCAGTTGGTATAGCTAAGCAGTAAAATAGGTTATTAGAAACAAGATGTCATTCCTCCAAAAGCTGAAGTTGCACCCAACTGAAGAAAGAATCACAAACTTGGAAAATTAAATATAATCATTACGCAGGTAAAAAAGGAGTGTACTCTTCCTTTTGTTTTTCTTTCACTAAATCTTCCTGCCAGCTCATAATTGAGATAAAGAATGAGCACTTACAGAGGGTAAAAACATTTCAGAGAGTTTAAATTAATTCTTTGCATTAATGCAAAAAATTTACTTCACTGTAGAAGAAACTGAAGGTATTTCACCACAGAAGCTTTTTTTGATATGTCTTCGGTAAAAGAAGTCCTGCTTTATAAACCTTGAGCTCTTCCAAGACGTCAACCAGTATTCAGATAAGGGTGATCTGGGATAACACAGCCTGCTTCTGATTCCAAAAAGCTATTGGCAAAGACCCTCACTAACAACATTTTAGGAAAATAGACTGTCACTGGACAAGAGTCCTGACATGGCTAAATAATAGAACAAAAGACAGGGAACAGGGTAGTAGCAAATGGTCAATTCTCACAGTGGAGGGAGATAATCAGCAGAGTTCCCCTGGGACCTGTTCTATTCAACATGTTTACAAGAGATGAGCACTGAGGTGGCAAAGTTTGCCGACGTTAAGAAGCCATTCAAGACAGTGAGGAAAAGAGCAGACTGTGAAGGATTGCAGAAGGGTGAAACTGAGTAACTGGGCAATAAAATGACAGATGAAATTCAGTGTGGATAAATGCAAAGTGCACAATGGAAAAAATAATTCTCACTTGATATAGAAAATGAAGGTCTCCAAACTGACCATCACTGCAAAGCTCTTGATGTTGTGACAGACAGTGTCATGAAACTATTAGCTCTGTGCTCAACTGCAGTGAAAAAAGCAAATCACTGTTAGGCAGTTTTAGAATGGGAACAAAAAGCATAATTATTCCACTACATATATCTATTTATGCACAATTTGAATGCAATACTGATCACAGTCATCTGAAAATGAGTAGATTGAAACTGAAAAAGATATAGAGCAGGGTAAGTATGATCAGAGATACAGAATGGTTTCCACCTGAGCTGAGTGATAAAGAGCTACAGCTTCACAATGGACATGAGCAAACAGCCTGATCATGGTATCTTCCCACACATACATGAAATGATCAAATTAAGTGAGCAGAAACCAGGAAACTTTTCTTTCTAATCAAAGAGTAGGAAATGTTCCTTTTGGCAGTTTCCTCCTTACCAAAAGATGCTGTCATGGAAGAGTGTTACATGAGGAGACTGGAAAAGTTGGAAGTAAGGGATTCCTTTAGGGCTGCTAAGGTGACAAACACAACAAATTCAATAAATATGTTTTCAAAAAGTTTGAATTTAGCAACACACACGTCATTCTGATGTACGAAAACAAAGAAAGAGACTTTATTAAGGCTGTCCCATGTTGATGGAATCTGCTACATGACCCGATGAAATCTGGAAGGTTAGAAAGTTGGTATATTTGAAGAACATTGCAGTAGGTAAAGTATTGTTGGAAGACACAGAGAAAGAGGCCATTAATGTAAGAGAAGAATCAGGACAAATTTAGTGCTCTGTCACTGAAATCTCATCCACTATTATACTGGATGCCATTTAGTATTTCAAAAGACTTTTTGTCTCTATAGGTTTAGTTCTGGAAGCATGTAAATTCATTACATTTGTAAGGAACACTAAAATCTTGGAGATTATAAGCTATCTGTTAATCTTTAAGGAAAAAGAATTGTCCCTTTTGCTGACACGGTCATTCATTCTTGATATGGGTTATAAAGTTGACTATAGAACGAATAAAGAGCATGTTACACATTATTACAAGTCAAATCACAGGATGCATTGCCACGAGCATTTCTGTTACTGACTTGATGTTACACGCACTTGCTTACATTCTTATGTAAAAATAAAATAGAATTGTATTTCCACTGTTTACTACGTTATCTATTATTACATTATAACACATAATATGACAAACAGCCAAAACTAAGTTTGGCTTATGTTACTGTATTTTTAAACAATAATCAAGAGTAGGCAGAGAGCTAGATAAGAGCTCATTTACTGCATTTTGTATAAATCTAAATAAACAAATGTACGGCAGGTTGTCCTAATCTAACTTCTCTTGGCTGATACTGGACTGTTCCTTTTTGCACCATACATGTTTTGGAATATTTTCCAAGCATAGACTAACATGTCTGGAACACTCACAAACTGATTCTCATACTGATAATTTCTGCTCCATGTGCAAGGAAAAGAGTAGAAAATCCTGACATAAGACGACACAATGAGAAGGCTCTATTCTGAATTACGCTTATATGGAAAAAATCTTTTAACTTTGCACTGGACACTGCAAAGTTGCAAGACTGGACACTGTTCAAATGACACATTATAGCAAAGAACATGCCTTCTCCAGATTAAACTGATGTTGCAGTGAGTCACTTACATACATCACTATCTTCATTTCCCTGCAAGATCTGGTCAATGCAAATGAAGTCACTGAATGCCACTTTGCATGCCAGTGTTGAATTCTTCCCTCCAAAACACTACATTTTCTTAATTTTTTGTTTGTTTGTTTGTTTTCTCTTTTTCTTTTCTCCCTGTAACCATTATGTAACTAAGATTTCCAGTTGTAGGAAAAGTGAATCAAGGTTTCAGTAATATTTCAGATTTTACATCAGGTTTATAGTTTGTTCAAGGCATTGAGAAGGGATCATCTAACTTTGTTACTGTCTTCATCACACATCATTACTAAATCTGATCAATCCATTAGAGTCATTCGAATACTCATTTTATAAAACTTTATACTGTTACAACAAAACTAAAAAAGCCCAAAGAATGTGGAATTAAAAATCAAATCAAGCATTTATTATAATGAGCCTTGTTTTCATATAGTACTTCATGTTATTTTGTAATTTAATTATTTTCTTTATGCAAATAAGGCCCCAAATGCTACTGCTCTCAAGAAGGTAAACACTTGACATTTTTACTCCTTAAAATGCAACATTTTATGATGCCTAGATATGTTTATTAATTAGTGATTATTAACACCCAGTAAACAACATCATGTCTTGTAAAAACACAATCTTTCTTCACAGCGTGAGGCTGAAATCTATTATTCACTGATTCCATATGCTGAAATACACTCAAATGATCACAAATGACCTTAAGCATTAGATAAATGTAAATGAGGACAGGGTAGAAAATGTGCTTTTGATTGATATCTAAAAGACCAGGTTTGAAGTCTTGACAAGGGATGAAATCTGAAATCTCACACAAAAGTGGAAGTCCACAAAATCTAAGCTTCTGGATGGACATACCACACAGTATCTCCCCAGCAGAGTCGTCTGAGGAGTTCTGCTCACAAAAGGTGTTCAGCACATGGAACCTGAAAGACCTGGGGCCCATGTGGCCTTTGTCTACTTGGCAGGCTCTTATTAGGATGCAGAGATGTATCTCTAAGTTATACGTACATATACCCTAATGAAGGCAGAATTTTTCTAGCCCTAAGTGCTCACTTAAAAGAACTTCTCTACACAGATTGCCTACACAAGCATAGTGTTAAATGACATGAATGATAGCCATTAAAACCATATGGGTTTAACCCTGTATGTTAGTAAGCTTATGCTGCATTAACAGTTTGCTTTTGTTAGCCCTATTTCAGTTTTACTTCTGTCACTTTTAGAAAGGCTGAAAGCCCTTCTGGAACGTGATCCATCAAAAAAAATATTTAGACACACAAATAAGAGTGTACTATTTACTCTTAGGCAGATATCTTCTAATTCTTAACTCTATGCCATGAATATGAAGTCCTTTACAATTTATTTTTAAAATACTGCAAGAGATGAACACACTTCAATTTTTCAGCTACTTCCAGTCCCAACTGTACCTGGAGATACCTCAGTGAAGCAGATAGTTAAACAGTTCAGCGCCACCACCTACTACAGGATGGGTAGGAAAGGCTTTGGAAACAATCTTAAACCAAAGTCTTTACACCTCTACAATGCTCACCCTCCAGAGTGAGCTATCAGGGCTAACTCAGAGACAAAAGGACAGGTGCACTATGAAAAAAATGCTGGGTGCAGCCTGCACCTTAAGTCACAGTCAATAACAGCACGGCCCCAGCCCACTGTGCCTGGTTCCCATGCTCTCCATCTGTCCTTGCAGTGACAACACAAGATGGATGGCACAGACAGGATGACCAAAAAACCTCCCACGGATGCTCCAACAACATCTACCTTAGGGCAAATGGGATTTGGTGCAACACTGAATTCTCAGAGCTATTTAAAACGAAACATGCCAGTGATTTAGGTAAATTCACTCCAAGCCTGACATTCAGTACAATGGGTAGTGGTGACTCTGATGAAGCCAGATTTCACCCATGCACTGAACCATGGGTTGAAGAGACATAGTCTATGTTAAAAGAAGATAAAAAGAAAAGATAGGTTATGTCACCAAGATTAATCATGCTGTATTTTGTATGTTAAAAAGCAATTAAATTTTTTTCCATACTTCTAAATGTCTGTCTTGCATCACTTACCTACTTATACCTATATATACATCTGTGTAAGCATCAGTAACATAGGCCGCACTTTCACAGTGAACTTTTGCATACATTTCACATTTACTTTAAATACAGAACTACATGCAAGAATCAGTAAAATAGTTTAACAGAATCTTCAGAAAAAAGTTCGGTAGAATCTTACCGGCTTGACACTTTCTGAGCCTTAAATACTCCAGCATTTTGGTTTCTTGTGATGATCTCATTTACATCTGCAGTATAATTGTTAAGAATTATCTACAAAACTAGAGCAATAATAAAAGTAATAAATCGCAATCTTTTCCATTGCTAATACCTGCATAATGTCTCTCATCTGTTTGGTCTTCTTTAATCTGTGCTAAGAGTCGGTCTTTTTTCAGAAACATAAATTTTATATTATTTCTCCAGCACATCAGCCATATATCTATGCAGCAATTTGCTCTCCATTGCCTACCTCTATTTACTGTTTCATTTAAGGAATTTGTAGCCCTGTAGCTATAGAGGGAACTGAAAAAAGACTTTCCATACCTTACATATATTTAAAGGCAACTATTACAAATATAAGAATTAAAACCATGGTTAACTTAATTTTTTTAGCACGGTTACTAAATGTCTGGTTTAGTTTGTGCTGCTTTTGACTGTATCACTATATCCCAGTGCTGAGATTTTGGAGGCTTATGGGTTTTGAGTACCTGCCCTGCCACAAGACACAGACCTTTTTTCCTGGCTCTGTCTGGGTGACTCCAACACACAACAGGATCACTCTAACCTATAGGCAAAGGAGTTTCTAGTCCATTTGCTTTCTTGAGAATGTTTTGGAACCACCACAAAAGAGTACAAAGCAATAAATGCCTTTTCTTCCCCTTAGGTACCACAACACTGCCTCAGCTTCATGTCTCAGCTTCTTGTAGCTTACAAGATCAGGTCACAAATTTGGGGAGCCATTCAGGCAGGTGAAAGCAAAGGCTATCAAGGAATAATTTCAGGGAAGCTGAGCCCAATCATCTGTTGCTAGAAAGATGACCTTCACAATCAATCATTTGTGGTTAGTGAGAAGTCATTGGAAGGAAAAGGTATAGTAAGTAAGTGAAAACTATGAGAATACTAATTGCCACTCCAGGTGAACCCATATGTATTTGAATGATTCAGTCTCAAACATAAAAAATTATCTTAGACACTTTTGGTAAAGTCGTCAATGATCCCTCTTTTTTATTTAAGGTACAGGAAATCTGATGCTAATTAGTAAGGTGTTTCTAGGTCCACAAAACATGTCAAATTTTTTGAAAGTGCTCTTATAAGAAAACTGAACACTAGTGTCAGGCTGATTTGAAATATTATTGATATATCTTCTTATTTGCTTTGCTGAAATCACTTAACTGGCCTTCCTAACAGAGCTGGTTATTTAAGAAAAGTTATTTTAGGAAAGCCTCTATCCAAATAATGCGAAAGACAACTGCTATTTTCTGAAGTAAAAAAACTAGAAATCAAATGACGAAAAACTGGTTTAAACAAATCTCTGTAGTTTGAATGTGCCTTTTAAATCTTTTCCACAATATGCAATGAGAGTAGTAAATGAATGGTCCATACCTGTGAAGCAACAGGAAGGAATAAGTAACTCCATGAGCAAAGCATGCTGGTTTTAAGTAGATGCAGAAATAACATTGTTGATAAATTAATACACTGCACTTAAATTATATAACTGAGCAAAACTCTTAATAATGGTTTATAAACATGTTAACACTAGCTTTTTTAAATAATTTATGAGCCCATGTCTTCAGGCATTCAGGCTGAACATGACCCTTCTAACCTAAATTTCCCACGACTGTTGAAAGACCCATACACTGTATTTTAATGGCCATTATAGTGCACTGCAACAATGTTTTGTATTATTGATGCTTTCAGACAGTAGTTCAAGTCACCAGTGCATGGTGTGAAACAGAGCTAAGGCAGAAGATACACAGCCTCTCTGAAATAGGAGAGAATTTTTAGTAAAATGAACCTCATCCTTGGATCTGGACATGCCAAACTGAATAAAGATGCTACCAGTGTTCTGAGGAAACAGAATTTGATGTTGATGATTGACTTATGTCACAGATATTACCCCAGTTGGGAAATTTGTATCTGAATGCATATCACCCAAAATTACAAATGGGCATGAATCTGATAACTTTGCTCTATGTATGTCTTTATTATTCACTTGATATGTCTATATTTTTATTTTTAATACTTTCCTTATTTAAATGATCCTGAAAGAACTTAGATAACACACACTAAACCAGCAATAAAGTTTGGAACAAGGCTGCAAAAGGAGTAACATCTGTCTTTATTTTATTGATTTTGCTATATAAATGATCTATTTGACCAATTAAAACATGCTCATGATAAGGAAAACCAGTGAGTTAGAGTGAAGTCTTTTAAAGGGATTAGCAACTCCAATCATAATATCTTTTTCAAAACCTCCATAAACATAATACATAAGATCATGGATCAATATAAAATATAGCAATATATTTCACAGTGAGGGGGTTAAAATGACCACAATTATTTGAAATTCACTAATTTGTAAATTGTTTTAACTTCTAACATTTCAATAACATACCCTAATACAGATATTGAAAACATACATAGTGAATACTTCACGTGGCAGTATGAAATGGAGATTAATAGGAAGCATGTCAAATATGAAAAGAAAAATCAAATCCTAAAAAGCTCGAGATTTTGCAGAGCAAAGCTGTTAGTTATGCTCACTGAATAGCAGTAGCAACAACAAAAACAACAATAATTATGATGATGTTGATAATACAAAGGCAGATTCTCAGATGCAATGCACTATTGCCAGGTCGATTTTCAATTACATTTCACTGATGTATTCATTTGTTTCTTAATGTGCTCATCTTGCCCATTAAGAATAATTAGCAGGCTTGCTTGGTGATTTCCTGGCTTCTGACAGGGATTTTTTTTCTTTTTTGTTGACAACCACTTTTACTTTTTGGAAAGTAATTTTTGGATATTATAGTATGACTGGCATGTAATTTAAGCTTCCTAAGAAATTTAAAGGGAAGATGTAAACAGTAATTTTAAACCAAGATTATTTTAATCTATAATACCTATGTGAAAAGCATAATACTAGGCTTTAACTATTCTTGAAGAGCAGAATCTAGGAAAGAAAACAGTATTTTACCCCACATTACCTTAATTGGGTATGCTAAACAATTAAAAAATACCATCAGCAATAATAAAAATAATAAATAAATAAATAAATTAAAAAAATAACAATAATAAAAATTAGCAGAAATAGGTCATTTGCAGTCAGTGGTACTTGGGCCCAAATGCTATTTCCAATTACACCTAAAATTCTTACTGATTTCAGTGAGTCTGGTGTGGCTAGTCACTACAGAAAAGAGTGCAAAAGAAAATTACCATAAGACAGATCATAAAATTATTACTGAAATCCATAAACCACATAAAATGCAACATAAATTTGACTAGGTGCTTTTTTAAGAATACATTCCACCTACATGGTGAAGTTCTTAGCCTGCTGCACTTTGGCACCCTGCTAATATTAAGCCCATTGTAAAATCCAACACAATAAAAGCACTTTGAATGCTGAGCCTTCTGAGCACCAAATGTTAAAAAAGAAAAATAAATTCCCGTTAGAGCCGTTCACCAATGGCTTCCCTGTTAGGGATTCACTGAGTGAATACAGATGAAAACTTCTTGTAGGACTTTTGGAAACAGAAGACATTTCTAAAACACATTGTGAAAAACGAAGGTGTGATAATTAGATGACATTAACAGTATCTTTTTCACGAATCAAAGCACTTTTATTTAATTCCAAAGACTGAGTGAATACTTTTGGCACTTGCCAATTTGCCTTACTATAAAAGACTTCTACATTTCAAAAAAGTTCAGGTATGTTTATGGAATCTGCTATGCAAGATATTTGCTGACTTGATGATTACTGAGCCCACCTGAAGCTTTCTATGAGTAAAATGACCTTTTGTTAAATACCTATGCTTCTATGCAACATTAGTTTGTTTTGTTAGGCTAGTTTTGAAACACTTCTTTTCTGTCACATTTTTTATCTTCATAATGACATGGAAGAAAGATTGGAAAGGGTGGTGCTGATTAAAATACACAGAATAATGAATACTTCCTCCTTAAGACATAAGTCTAACAAGCTAGAATTTAACAAAATAAGAATCCCTGAAACACAGCTGAGAACTTGCCTTTTCAAGAAAAAGGAGACTTTTAGCAGGCTTAATTTAAGTTTTAACAGATATGATCTGGGATTGGCTGTTTATGACATGAAATTGTTCAAGTGTTGTATGCAATTATAGTTAACTCAGTTACCTCTGAGAAAAGTGTTTTTAAAAGGTGGTAGCTAATATTATTGCACTGCAAATGTCTCCTGTTTTAACAGGCACCAGCAGCTGCAATTTTTTTAAGCCACACATTAGTTTAACTTTTTTTTTTTTATTAAGTACTCATTATGTTAGCTCTCAAATACATACAAAACTCAAATCTAAATTCTGATGCTGCAACGGCCAAAACCTGAAAAATTAGCCTGCCTTAAAAATGTAAATGGAAAGATTATCAAGGAACAAAAGCAAATAGATATCTTCCTTTTTTCCCTCTCAATTTCTAAGGGCTATTAGTATTCACTGTATATATCTATTCTTGTTCTGTGCTGATATTTAATGTGGTCACAAATTATGCTCACTCATTCTATCTCTTAGCCCAAGTCCAGTTCAATTTTCTGAACTGTATGTTCCTATTAGAAGGGCATGATAGCAATTTAATCTATTATAAAAAAAACAATAAAATACTTTCTACAAGGGACAGAGGAGTTTTGCAATCTTACATCAAGAGAAATAATGATAAATTGATAACTGATTAAGCAAACTAAATGGGTAATTTGTAGGCAGTTTTAACTTAGCAGCCACAATGAAACATTTCAATATACACTGGGAAAGCTATGGCAATATACTGATGTTGGGTATGTTTTAAGAGGCTAGTATTTGAAAGCAGGAAAAAAAATCCAGCTCCTCTGCAAAACGGATACATGAAGGGGAGCCAATGGTTTGATTCACTACTATACCTCCTGTAACGTGCAGCGTACACATACGAGTCTTTCAGCACTCAACCACAAGACATATATTTACTACTGTACTTGCTCTATACCAACACCTGCATTTTTAATTAAAGGAGAAAATGTGGCATTTATTATGGGGGAAGCTGTAGCTCTGCTCAAGATATTCTACATCTATTTTTTAATTACTTATGTGGGGACTTTTCTTAATATACCCCATGCTGCCTGTCTTTATATCGATTGTTACTCAGCCAGTAAAAAGGAACGAGCACAACAAACCAGTTTTCTATCTGAATAAGGATACTTTTGATGGCCTTTTCATTTCCATCAGTTAACAGAACTTCTTTGACATCTGCAGAAATAGCAACCTGAAAAAAAGAGCACAGCAAACAATGAGCAAATATGCTTGTCTGTGTGGAAGTGAAGACAGGAGTGACAAGCCTTCAGTATCATGCTTCCTCACCTATTTCTCTGTAACAATCTTCAATCTTTTTTCATTTTATGTCTGCATTATTTTAATCATTCAATCAAATCAGTCAATACTTTTATCATTCCATTTGCGGGAGCCTCTATCTTGCTATCATTCTGTTCCGTAATTGCATTGTGACAGCCGATGATGGTATTCTGAGAGGCTTTCATTTGCGGGCTTCTGTTTATCTAGTAGAGCCATCATACAAGGCTGTCACTCTGCCTTTCAGCTTGCTTCTGTCTGACTGCCTGATGCCCTTCATATAACTTTGCATTGCAGGCAGATGGCTTTGTAAGGGTAATTTTTTTGTGAGCTTTGACATGCTCGCACATTGGGCTGTAACCTCGACACATTGTATAAGAGCGACAGGTTTGTCAAATGCCAATCAGTGTAACAATATGCTTTTATTTGTAGAGACATAAAAACTTGTCTAATGCACTGCACTGCTACATAATATCTCCTGAATACATGACTCAGAACCCAGAGAATGGTGAACGACTCTCCTGAATGGCCAATCTAATTCAAAAGAATCTAATTACCGAGAGCTCTGGATCATGTTTGTTGGTGTAATAATGCAGGCAAAACATTAGCAGCTATATCATGGTGCTCCAACTGTGATTCGCCAGGCTATTCCTGTATCTTAGCAAATGGGACTATAATCTGAAAAAAAAAAAAAAGCTTCGGCTATGGCAATGAAAGACAGACCGTACGTGGCCTGGAATGTCACAACAAAAGATATTGACTACACCGAGGTAAAATGTTTCTGCTCATCGAGGCAACCATAAAATCAATATGATACGAAAGCAAGTCAATCTAGAAGGTCTCTCAAGACTCTGCAGCTTGACCGCAGCTGAGGCTGTTGACAGTTCTCTGACCCAGCAGTTGGAGGCACTGGAACATTTTTCCTTTTGTTTCTTCCTCTGAATGGGATTGGAATTGAGAAAAGACCTACCATGAGCCCAGCCAAGCATGTCATGCCACCCCCCAGCTCACACACAGCAAGGTCCCTGAAAGAGAGAAAGGAAATGGTAGAACCCATACAAATTAGATGAAAATGGTCAGAGAGACATATATGTTACAAGAACAAATTGCCATCTGCAGTAAGAACTGAGCTACCAGGAAGTTGTAGAGACATGACTAGGCTACCTCATGTCGTTTTGCGTTTTAAAAATAATTATGAAATAGAAAAGTCACAAAGCAGGCAAATCAGTGGGGGTTCCCTCATTAGTGTTCAGTGCAACATTACCACCGCTGAGCTGAAAAATCTGAGAAGGTTCCCTTTTTTCCCTTGTCAATGGCTCTGTCTTTTAGAACTAAACTAGCTAGAGTAGCGAAAGATAATTGTTAGGAAAGGATAACAATGTTAATCCACATTCATTCTTGCAAAAACAGCCAGAGAAGTAAATGGGGAAATTAATATTATTTATATATCTCTCCATATAGTTATGCCTAAAAGCCTTTTTATATTAAAAAGAGAGAAGTTTTAAAGAAAGCTGTATGCCACAAAACAATTACACATGAAGAAATCCGATCCTTCAATTAGCACTTAAAACTGCAAGTGACCTACAAACAATACTGTTATGAACAACGATGGGAACAGCAAACGGTTAAGCCACAGAAAACCAAACGAAGTTAGTGTCAAGAGCCTAAACTGAGCCCGATCAAAGGGCTGAATACATGGTCTAAAAGGCTGCTTTTAACTTAGAACATACTGTGCTGTTATTAAGACGTGCATGTGAAATATAATTTGGCGCAGAGAGTGTGCCGGATGGGAGCTTGCAGGGGGAGCCATAAAGAATGTCCTCCAGAGCCACGGCCTGCCCCAAGAGGGAGGAGGGAGGGATGCTGACCCCACATCGAAACTGTGTGAAGCAGCGTCTGGGGCAAGGCAGAGCCTCAGTGTAGGAACATACTGCTTTATAGCAAAATCTGTGGCAACTGTTACAGCTGGCAGAAACGTTCCCACTGAGACATTTCTGATAGGCATAAAACGGAATTTTAACTAAACAGTTTGGTTGGGAGTTTTTTGGTGCACCTTTTCTTCTCCCCCAAAATATCGACATCCGAAAATCTATTTTTATCTGGAAGTATCACCTCACTGCTCACTCGACACTGATATTTAGGAAGAGCATCTAGGATGCCACATCAGTATGCAGATGCTGATATTTTGTTCACTGAGGTGAGCAGAGTAGGCTGTATGACTGTGTACTAATGCTCACTCATCTGGATGGGACAGATTTATTTTTCCTTAGACGCCAAATTTTATTTGAAAAAAGTGTAGTTGTCTTATTCAATCAAAATGAGACAAAAGACGGACATGGGTTGGAGGAACAAGCTGTATAAAAACCCAGTGAGAATACAAAAACAGATTGTGGGAAATTTGAAGTTTGTGGTTTAAATAGAATGATTATAAGTTTTTCTCAAATAAGTTTTTATTTTCATAAACCAAGTGTGTTATATATTTAAAGAATATACATATGGTTTCACACATTAGACTTATAAGGCACTTAATCCTTTATAAGTCATGCTTACTGAAATAAACACAGAAAGTATCTAATGTGAGGTTTCTAGTGCATTTTGAACCAAGTTTCTATATATATAATACATAATCATATACATGCACACTTATACACATAAATATTTACACATGCAAGTAATTTACTCCAGTGTAAAGTTCCCTTATTAGTAAATTTTAAAAGTTGTATCTGTCTCTTAGGCAATATTTAGTGACATTTATTAATGAGAATTAAAATAAGAAACTCTACTCTGAGAGTACTGTCAAGAGGGCATAATCCTGAGAAATCAGGATGTGAAACTTCCCATTTACTCCACGGCAGTTTGACTGATCATTGTCTGCGAGTGTCCCGGCCTGCATACCCAAACTAGGAAACACCCTTTTCATCAGCAGCACAGCGAGGTTTGCTGTGAGGAGCCTCAGAGAGCAAATAGAGCATAGGAGCCACTGCATGGGGCTGGACAGCAAAGTGCTGCAGGGACACCACCATGGCAGCAGCAGTCACACAGTGCAATGCCCAGCTAAACTGAGAGGAAGGAGCAGCGGCTGCCAGATTGGATGTATTAGCGGCCTCCTCTGATGGGCTGGGTCTTCTTCAGTTGATAGACAGAGTAGGAACGAGACTCTACAAACCAGGGCACACTTCAGTGCCAGGTCTTTGATTTCAGATAGGAGTCTGAGCAAGCTGATATGCTTGCTTGATATGATTTGTACAAGGGGTAGGGACTTACAGCTTGGTCTTCCTTATTTTACCAACACCATACGTACACAAACTGAGTGACTCTCTGTACTCCAAGCTGGTTTACTTGGTGTTAGCCTTACACCCTCACTCAGAGCACAATTTATGCCTCCAAATGCGTTCCTATAATGGCTTTCATTGCACTCCATTCATCCTCCGGAAAATGAAACTTCAAGGATTTCCAAGTGCAAATTTCAGTATACTCAAGGGGAAAGAAAGAAGATGCAGGATGGATTTTATGTTTAGATGTTCCTATTGGTGCCCTGATAGCTGTCTTCTAAAAGTTCAGAAAATGTGAAAAAATCCCAAAACCAAATAGAATGCAGGATGTTTCAAAACTCTTTTACAACACTCCATTACTATATGAAGTGCTAATTCCTCCATTACTACATGCAGTGCTTGTTATGTATTTTATCAGGTAATATTTTGCTTGCTTTTGCAACAGATGTCAGTTTAAAGAATATCTTATTTTTTCTGACCTTCACAATCAGTACTGATCGATTGGAGCTTCACTTTTGTTTCCCAAAAATCAAAGTGAAATAAAACGCCTTGAGTGGAAATCAAAAGTCTTTGACATATAGCAGAAAGCTTGCTGTGCAATATTAGTACCCAAAGGCAGCTCAGAATTCTTTGTTAAGAGCAACATGCTTTCACCTTGAACATTTTAAATTTAATCTGAAGACTTAAATCATAGCAATCCTTACCATGCAGATACAATAAAACTAACAGGTTGGAAAATATCTTTTTATGTTTAACTCTGTACCTGAATATTTCATTATGCTTTAGGCAGTAGTAAGCCAGCACTTCTTCAGACGGCCAGAGACCTATAAAACAAAGATATTTGCTTTCTTAGAACAGATTATTTTTTGGTCTAAAATAATATTTGAATGCATATTATCATTTGCAGACTTTTACCCACTGTTTCATTTTCTAAATCTGCCATAATACCATGGAATAAAGAAAAAAAGAGAAGACCTATGATTTAAGCATAGATTAGATTTGAATATTTCAAAGATTTCATCCCAACTAATTATCAGAAATTTATAGATACATGCACATATGCATAAACATACACATATATCTACACATATATATGCAATACTCAATACTTTAAAAGTCATATAAAATACAATCCATTTGGGCATTCACATGAACCTGTTTGTACCAGGCCAGATGCAAGGCCAACCCTGCCTTGTAGCCTGTTTCCAGCAGGGGACAGAAGCCCTCTCCTTTTTTGTTAGCTACAGAGATCATCATACTGCAGCCACTCCATTTCTTCCCAGTTTATTTTTATTTAGCTCCTTTTCTCTTAGTTTTTGTTAGGTCAGGCAACAGTGTGACTGTAAGGGACACTGACCGGCAGCACATGCTGAGGACAAATGCAGGACCAGGGCAATAAAACAGTGTGATTTCTAGTTGTGGCTGAAGAAGTTTTTGAGAAGAGGAAATAAAAGTGGTAAGTTCCGTTTAACAGGCACTGAAGGATTTTTCTTTTTGTGGACTGTGGTAAACTTTCCCCAGCTGCAACAGGAAGCTCCACAGTTTTACCGTGCTGTATAAAGAAACACCTCCTCACTCTAGTTTTGTACTTGCGTCCCTGTCATTTTCATTTGAATCCCTCTAGTTCTCCTGTGGGAAGAGAAGGAGCAATCTCAGTTTTTTCACCTAATCTGAATTACTCATGACTTTATAAGCTTCCACCAGAACACTTACACTGGTCATCATCATTAGCAAGTACTTGGTCACCCGTGGAAATTTACTCCTTCAAAACCAGTCACTCAGGAAACTCACTGTTTCGTCAGACCAGTTTTCCACCTGTCATGAACATCTAACTGAGGCGCTGTGGCCGCCGGAGAGGGCAGCACAGATCCTGTGTGCCTTGCACGCTCTCCTGCACTCACCAGACTCCACTGCTGGAGGCAGTCTGGGAAAACAAACTCATACTTGGGCACTTGAGTTAGGTCTGCAAAGGTTCCCAAAATCAAAGGAGGATAAATCAAAGGCCCATGCAGCCAAATTGTGGTTGCGTGTGTTTTTCATCTGTTATTGCTCAGCAGTGAAAAACATGTTTACATGTCTGTCTACAGGTAAAATCCAGGGTCAGCTTCCCCCCCACCCCCAACACACGGCACTTTGAATTAATGATACAGAAACTTAATGTTATGAACTACAGACATTTCAACAGTTTCACTAAACTTAAAACAACCATGTAGAGCATCCTTTAGATATTTCTAGAACACTGAATTTCATGCAGCTTACTATGTATCTGCATCCTTTAGATAATTCTTTTAAAACATCACAACATTTTTAATAGAAGCAGAGTTTGGGAGAAAAACTGTCTTCCTCTAAATCACTTAGAACCTGATTCTAAACATTATCAATATAATTCTTCCTTTCCATCTAGTAAGTATTCTGAACTATCCTTATTCATGGTGATTAATAATAAAAATTTATTAATAACTTTCCTGCATGCAGATCAAGCAAAAGCCTAGAGAGGATTTGTCCAAAACTTTGCTTATAAGTTTTGTATTACAAAGATCTTAAAGAAAAACAAAATAGAGTGTTAATACATATATATGAAAAAACCAAAAATGCAATATTGGTATTTATCCTGTTTATGACAGTTTAGGCTCAGCAGGTGTTTGTGAATGTGCTATTTTGCTTAGGCTTGCTAAGTATTAAAACAAAATATTCCCACAGACTACCCATTCTTTAGTGAAACGTACACTAAGAATTGTACAGGGTTTTCCATCTCCCTTTGAGCATTTCAATGCTTTTGAGCATTGAAATATGCTAAAATGACAGATTTTTGCAATAAATATAATAACTCTTTAAATACTTTAGTGTATAATATAAAGAATGTTTCAGCTTGCAGTGACTGCTGTACACTCAAGCAATAAAAGTGCTTTTTTAATATTTAGTGAAGACACAGCCAGTTTAATACCATTTACAATACTTATATCTCACATTACAAAAAAACCCCACGCCCACAAACAGAAAAATCTGAAACCCTTTTATAGCAAATTTTAGCCTGAGTGAATTTTATAAATACTTTTTAAAAATACTTGTCAATTGTAGCAAAATCCTTCAACATCTGACTTTTCAATACCCTCCGTCAAATGTCTCTCACTTTTCTACACTTATTATTGAAAGGGCACTTTGAATGGTGTCACTGAATCTTTTATGAGGGGTCACTGTTCTTTCCCCTGCTACCATTACAATGTTGGTATGGGCTGAAACTGCAGGTGTATCAGATAGCTCTGTGCTGAGAGAAGGGTAAAGCACCTTTGGAAAGACAATGCTCTCCTTTAGGCAGATGCCAGCAATGCACAGAGCTCTCTTCCCTGCTGCCTTGCCCCACAGGGAAGGAAGTATCACCTCAGCAATGATATAAGCAGCTGGCAGCTAAAGAAGCAGGAGTCAGGAGGTCTTTCATGATCACGTCTCAAGTGTGGAAGCACCCAGCTAAGCCAAGAAGCCAGAAGCCAGAATACCTGTGTTAATTTTAGTAAAAGGAAAAGCTTCTCGTGCTTGAACAGGTAGGTAAGCCTCTTTACCTTCAAAACAGGGATCAGCTTAAAGATCCATGTGGAGGAGTTTGCATTCTGTCTTCTTCCCCTTTACTCTGACCTACATTCGCCAACACAATGACCTACATTTTGAAGTTGCAAGTATAAGATAGTTCTGCTTCTGTTAGGAAACATACCACTGTGATGCAGAAATGCAGCAATTCCTATGAATTAACAACCACTAGGTTGCGAAAAGCATAATTTATTTCCTGCAAACACATACATATGGATATGGATTAAGTTTCCCGTGAGCACTCTGAAAATAATTCTTTCATATTTAAAATCAAATTATTCTCATTTTGATTTCTGAATTTGATTATAAATACATAACATTGGTACCTATTTGCATGTGCAACTACTTACACGATAGTAAATTATTTACATACGTATAGCCAAAAGAATATCAAAAGACACCCAAGTGGTGCTCGTATTTACAAGACTATGAATATACAAGTTCTACACAGAGACTAAAAAATCTCACTGTATGAGGAAACATAGAGAAAAAATGAGGTTTTCTTGTAAATATAAATATTTTGCATCACTTACTGGAGGTTTTAATACTCTATCACCTTGATAATTACAATGTGAAAACAGAGAATAATTGCCAGAAAACACTGGAATCTCTACTGACCGCATAAAAAAATTAAGCTGCATTGGTGTTCAAAGGAGAGCCTCAAGAAAGGGCATGTCTGAAGACAGGGGAGAGACACAGTACTCACAGAGCAACGCCTGCCCACATTTCAACTCTTGGCAGGCATCCTTTAACCACTAGGATGGAGTAGGAGATCCACTACAAATGTGCCATCAGAGAGATGATGTCTACTTCCAGACAGCTTTAAGATACTTATTACAGTAGAAGGAGTAGAAAAACATTGTCACTACATTGTAAGGTGCTTCATGTGCTTTGAGGAGACATAAAAAATGCAGCCATTTGTATAGCGCTTATCACCATATCACAAAATCTCATCACAGCAACAGAGTCTACCTCACAAGAACTTGATGACATCATGAATTTCTACTGTCCCAAGTCAGCACACTAGGAGCCAAAGGAAGAGACAGAGACAGATTAATTACTTAGACATACAGAATGAAAATATGGGAAGACCAAGACAAACATCCTGAGCCACTCTTACACCCTGGGGTATGATGTAACCAAAAAAAGACACCCCAACTTTTCCTGTAGAGGAACAACAAAAATCACAGTAATGCTAAGAATACATAACTTTAGTTGGTTTTATTACTCTCATAGTGCTTCTTTTGGAAAGTGTCAGGTCCTTTTAAGCCACGTGTAGACAGCCTTCTGAGGATCTATTGTTTTAACCATCAGGAGGAGCACCACTAGTCCAAAGCAACACAAAACAGTGCTTCTTCTGCATCAAATCTAAAAATGCTGAAACCTGTACGACAGTACAGGAAATTGTCTACCAGAAATAAATTACCTAGTATGAAAAAAAAAATATTAAAATTATTGTTTCTCCTCTGTTGCTTTTTAGCACCTATTTTAAAGAACGCTGTCACACCTTTGGATAACAAATATGGAGATCTGACGTGAAGTTCTTAAAGAACATCATGTCAGTAGAAAAGAATTGTGAGGCGTGTATTTTTAGAGATGACATGATTATTGGAGCCATTATGTCTCAGTGGTGCTCCACAGGTACTTTAAGTGGGATACTGCAGGATTAGTGGAACTCTGCTCTACTATCTGCCAGCACTGCACACAGGAAACATAGAGGCAACTGGAGGTGACAGGTGAGCTGTCCCTTGAAGCTCTGAGTAGGAGTTATAAGCTGTCCTACAACTACTTAACTCACGCTAGGAGATTAAAAAGTTCCTTTCCAAGTTGAGACAAATTGAAAGCATTTTCACATTTCTCTAGCACTTTACCCAGCCACATGTATGATCCATGTCTGATCTCAAAATTCATATTTTGTCTTTTATTTGCACTATTAAACTATAAGATTGGAAAATTCCCAAAACTAAGGGTTACTGGTCTCCTGGAAAAGGCTATCCTAGGAATGTAACATAAGGAATACTCTACCATTCTTACTGTAACATTGTCATAATCCTAATTTTACAGTATCAAATGTTATTTTCTAATGACTATGAGACTATATCCAAGTCACATGGGAAGGCACGTTTGATGATTTGATCCTGGTTAGTTTTTCTAAAACTCGTTAGTCTTTCTGGATCACCACCACCATGCACAGCAAGAAGCATTGTCCAGCTGCTGAAGTTTCTGGAGAAGTAAGAGAACA